AAATAGACAAGTAACTTTCAGTTGATGGCATATTAGCAGAGCCATATATTGTGTAATGCTTTTAAGTTTTGATCTATCAGAGTGTATTGAATTATGCATTCCATAAATTGCCTGCCATCAACAGTTTAATTCCATACTTTAAACCCTCAATATTCATCTGTTCTATTTCTGCCATGAAGAGATTGGATATTTACCAATTGGATACTTTTTGTCTACCAACACAAAAACCAAACCACAGAAGAAAAATGTTACCAACTATCTGCATTAAACTAATCCACATTTTTCAAGAACAGAACATGTCAAAAAAAACATAGAATCAATTAAAAGTCATGCGACATATAAATATTAGAAATAAAGAAAAGGGATATACCTTTGTTCTAAAACTTTCACATACACTGTATGAGTCTTGTCCTTGTCTTTTTGATCTTGGGGTGCCAGGCACCTGGACATGGAGCAAGTGATACTGTGAAAAATACCATTCAATACCTTAATGTCTCTATAAAAGATAATCAGTTTAACCAGTTCTACTCTTAAATTCTTTATTACCCGATGTCACTAAAGTTAACTTGTGGTTTTCTCAAGATAACTAAAAGTGTTTCTTTTTCCCTACATAGATTTCTTTTAATCTGCCATCATATTTACAGAACTGAAGGGAACACAAATCAATACAATAAAGACAAAAAAAAATACAATTAGTAGGACCATCACTTTTTTTTCCAAACCCTATCCATGACCCCAATCACCCTCACCACCTGCCCCATTACCATCTTCAGCGTATACATGTGTGCCTCTGACAATAGGTTAGATTGAAGGGTGTAGCTTGCCATAAGCTACAGGGTTTGGTTATTTTCAGGTTCATATTTCAGCTTCCATTGGCTTACCTACAGAAAGAGAAGGAGAACAAGTGCTAAAAGCATTTATCCCTGGAAATTTTATAGATGTAAAAACCCGTATTTGTCACGGTGATTAAATAGCCTGGTAAATAAATGAAGCAATTTTGGTATCAATACTGTGTTGCAGCCAGATCTGTTGCCACTCTAATTACTCTGTATAGGTTTTTCCCTGGATCTGCTTGGCTACTTCATCAAATGCTGAAAGAAAACAAATATTTCGATATTTGCCCTCAATGTTCATTCTCTCCTTTTGGTGATGCTTGCCAGCAACTTGTTCTATTCAAACTGCCTTGGGAGCAGTGTTGACCTGAAAACTTGCATGTTCGTGTACTTTTCTGATGTCCTGTTCTCTTTTGATTAGGTTACCTTGTTCTATCAACAAACCCCCATCCCAAAATATTCTCAGTAAGTTCCTCCCTCAGCCTTTACATTGGGCAGTAGTTCATCCCAGTGATTATGATTTCCATCTCACCACATTTTGTCTTCTCTTGTCTTCCCTGATATTGATGTTTTCAAATCCTCCTTAAACTGTCTTCCCAATATTCTCAGCAAGCTGTCTATCTTACCTGTCCTTTCTATTCCCATGGTCTTGATCATAATAAAGCCATCTCCAAGCATCGTCCTGAATCTGTAACGACCCACATCCCCTATCCAGCCTCTAATGGCACTTTCTTCTGCAAGAATGCGTGAAAAAGAGAGACATGTTCACAAACCTATTTGTCTTGCACTCATAAGGACAAATGTAAGAATGCCAAGCTTCAGTCATAGCAATCAATTCAATGACAGGAGAAAAGAGTACTGATGTTTTGGCAAGTCAAATCTCATTGGTCAAAGCATTGCCATAAAGAAAACAGCAGAGAACAATACACTCCCAAGCACCAAGCTGATTCAAAAAAAAGGCACAAGGCTTGAACATATTCCTTTTGTTTGTAAGAGAACACAAGATGTGGGTGTCACTGACTAGGCCAGTACTTATTGCCCATCCTAACTGTCCAGAGGGCAGTTAAAGGTCAATCACATTTCTGTGAGCCTGGAATCACATATAGACCAGACCAGGTAAGGACAGCAGCTTCCTTCCCTCAAGGACATTAGTGAACCAGATGGGTTTTTTTCAGAAATCAACAATGGTTTCATGCTAACCATTAGATGCTCAACTCCAGATTTTTATTGAATTCAAATTCCACTATCTGCTGTGGTGAAATTTGAAGTCAGCTCCCCAGAACAGACTTGGGTCTCTGAATTAATACTCTAGTGATAATACCATAAGAAAACAAGGAACTGTATGCTAGAGATCTGAAGCAAAAAGTACTGGAAACTCAACAGGTCTGGCAGCATTCTATGGAGAGAATGTATCAAGTCCAGTGACCTTTTGTCAAAAAACGTGTCCCAGACCCACAAGAACACCTTTCCCCCAAATTCAGTTGCTCTAACACAGGCTTCTTATGCATCCCTTCTTCTCTTCACACTGCTGTTGGTACTATGTAAACTACTTTTTTTGAAATTTCCTCTCTAACCCTCCCCACCTCCCTCTTCTCCTTTAAGAACTTCACAAAAACCCACTTCTGTGATTTCTTATTTGTCCACCTTCTTCCTAATGTCTCCTTGATTGGTTCAATATCTCTTCTCATCTCTGTGAAGTGCCTTTGGCCATCTTCCTGCATTAAAATTGTTGTATAAATGCAAGGTGTTGTTGTTGCGATCAGTTTTCACAGATTATGTACTTTCAAAGATTTTAACAAGTGCAAATGTTTATACCTAAGTGTTCCAGGTAATCTGCTAACTCTATTTCTTGCAATGTTTGTTTGGTACTAACAACTTGTTTGAGGTGGCCTGAAGCCCATTCATATTAGAACTCATGTCATCACCATTTCAGCTTTCTACAAATGATTATATTCTAGTTCATTAATGGTCCATTATTAGATCATTTGTTAGTTTCCCATTTCATGAAGGTATCTGGCCTTAACTCACTTGCAATTCTAAACTGTAGTTTTACAGAACTCATGATTGACTGATCTAAATCTATGAGTTCCTGTGGTTTAAGTCCTGTCTCTACAGAATGAATTGTTGATTGCTCTTATTTCAGCATGTAAGTCCTTATTATGACTAATTGTGTTTTGTGTGGCTCATGCTGATGACTCTGCCTGATTTCTTACACAAGGTAACCTCTAATTTTCATTTAGGATTTGTGATGTTATTTCTCCACCTCACAAAATCAGTTGCCAACTCCATTATTTAGACACTTATAGGCCTATACAGCTCATTTTAAATGCACGGAACATTTGCATTAATCATGAGATTTAGTATGCCATGGAGCTAAAATATTAAAGTTTGGATAGTTAAATACATCATAGGATGCATTCATCATTGTTACTAGTCTGTGGAACCAATCCCAGAGATTATGTTCGAAGCTGTCATATTCCGGATTTCCCTTAATCACATATCCATTGGCATAATTTGCAAAGCTGTCCTTATCAGTAATTCCCACATATTCTTGAAACATGCTAATTGGATCTTGTAGTGTTTGGAACGAGGCTGAGGTGAATCTTATTGACTATGAGACCCTTGATTGGGGTTTTTTATCCTGGGCCAGTTAGGAAACGCTGGCTGACAGATGTAAACAAGAGATTCAGAAAGTTTCCTCATTCCAGGGTCAAGCTCTGAGCTGACTGGTCAGAGCCCATGTACTGTGCACGAGTAAATAAAGGGTGACTTGGTAACAGGATACCAATCTCAATGCAGTTATTTCAGATCTGTTAACTTCATTAAACATAACAGATCCATCCTCTATGTCAATGATGAAACTCTGCGAAAGGAATTCCTCTGCCCGTTCCATTTTATTCCTCTATGCTCTTATGCTGAATGGACAATGTAGGACAAAGAAGAAAGATTGTCCATGTGGAGGTGGCTTCCCCATTTTTCAAATTAAACCATTCTCCCTGCACCACTCAGCCTGCTCTCCATCTCCACAGGGTCTCATAGGAATTTCTGTTAGAATCCAGATGTTTGATACAGCTAAATACTGCAGTAAAAATCACAACAATTTGAGACTAAGGTATTTTAACTTCTGGCTACAGTGGCAAATGGGCAAAATTGTATAGAATGTTCAATATATACTGTGACTGAATTTGCAATAAATTGACTTCACAGAAAGGAAAATTAGATGGAGTCCATAACCGGCAAAATTTTTACATTTTTGACAAAATTTTTGGGCACTATTTTGGCCAATGAACAGCATTTTCTGCTTTGCAGTGATGCAGTCAAGTTGGGAAAGAAAGCAAATTAAAATTCACCTGAAGTGCCAAGAACTAATTGCAGCTTTACATTTGTCCTGTTAATACTTACAAACTTTTATAAGTTTGAGGCCAGAAAACATAGCTTGGTGATGCTTTAATCTTGTGCTTTACGATGTAATGTGAATACATTGAGTGTACCAAGCAGCAGCATCTCGTCATGCCATTTCATCATTATTTGTACAATAATGTAACAATTACACTATTACAATTACTGAAGGACACATTTAAAGAGCAAATGCTTTTTTAGTTAAAATGAAAACACCTCAGCAATTGGTGCTTTTTTCTGTAACTTGACTATATTTTCTAAACAGTCCATTTCGTTTTTGAAGTATTTTTTGCTGCATGAGTTGGTGAAGCTGATGTGTCACATGCTCAAAATAGAATTTAAACATATGTTGCTAATGTCTGGAAGTTGAGTTAATTGCATGGCCCTAAGAATATAAAACGCTGACATAAACTGTGCCTAATCTCTGATTCGGATGCATTCTGAATGCATCTGTATGAATCAACTGAAAAATACAGTTTAAATCTGCATTTTCTTTTTAAGTTCCAACGACTACACATATCTGAATTCTTACACTTGGAATTGTAGGAATTAGATGAAGAGGCGTAGGAAAATATTGTATTGACCATAAACACGATCATGGAACTTTTGGGCTGAATGGTCTTTTTCTGGGCTATACATTCTACATAATTTGTGTAATTGTTAAATTATCTCATTCTGAGAAAAATTTTGAAAAATTAAATAAGTATACTGAATGCAAATGTAATTTAGAGAACAATCTTCAATACAATCTTCATTGTACAACCGCAGCTATCTTGCATCAGTGAGTGAATCCATCCATAGGAGTCTTGATTGTCTGGATACAGCAGAACTGAACTCACCCAGCTTTCATGGATGGAATGAGGACTACATGGGAAGTTCAGACACTCTCAAATCCAACCCGATTAACCAGGTGTGTATAATTTTAATCTCTTGACATAAACGATGCCATTTAGGCTGTCATTGGATATCACAAATAAACTAAAACAACAAGAATAATCAACTGATTTTATTTAAATATTCTAGAAGGCCCCGGTGGCCAGATCAGAGGTTGCAAAAATGTAGAGGTCGGGGAAGGGGGAAAATTTTCATGCAATAACATTTAAAAGTAACCTATATGAGCCACACAGAGGTGAATATGTACTTTTTCAACTGTGTCCTGAAAGCAAAATACAAAATATTTTTCTTTCTTTATGCGGGTACATATTACCAGTCCAAGATCCATACAGTTTAGGTGCATGATAATACAATAATGAGAAAAGACCACTGCTGCAAAACAGTCAATACTTAACATTCACTGGTCAAAATCCTGGAACTCCCTTCCCGATTGTGGCTATGTGCAAAAAGGACTACAGTGGTTCAGGAAGGCAATTCACCACCACCTTCTCAAGGGCAATAAATGCTGGTCTAGCCAGTAATGCCCACATCTCATGAGTGAATAAAGTAAATTTAATACAACCTTATGTTTAAACATCTTAAATGTTCAGAACAGATAAAGAAAACAAGTTCCAGTCATTTCACTGCTCTGAACCTGGGGAATTCCTATCGTTAGAATGCCATTCTTAAGTTGAATTTTATTCATACAGTCTGCAAGATCTAATATATTATCTGAATGCCTGCCTATGTAATAGCCATCAGAGCATTTGACTGAACACTGATATTTGCTCTTCATCTATTCTGTACTGATCCTGGTTTGGTAAATGCTGAATGGAATGTAGTGGAGAGAATTTTGCATATTGTTTGGCAAGGAGACAATGTGGAGTATTCTTGTATGCATTTAAATTTTGTTTTACCTGAACTGTGAAAGCTTGGTTGAACACAAGATTCAAGTTGGTGCTTGAGAAAATCGCAGTATGAATTAGCCACCTACTAGTAAATATACTGGATGAAAGCAATTAGAAACTTTTGAAAAAACATAATTAACATAAATGCATTAAATAGAGAGTATGGGGGGAATATTAACTCACCACGGTAAGCAATTGTCAGTGCATGTGGTAGTTTGAAGAAGTCAAAAATACTGGCTTGTTAGGAAGCCAGCAGCAACTGTCCAACTTAGGCACTCAAAATGCTTGGCATCATCCAGGACAAAAAACCTGTTTGACTGGCACTACATCCATAAATATTCACTCCCTCAGGTAATGACAGTCTGTAACAGCAGTGTCTATCATCTACAAGATGCAAAGCAAAAATTCAGCAAGGTTTCTCAGGACCACCTTCCAAAACCATTTTCTTCGAGAAGGACAAGGACAGCAGGTACATGGGAACACCACCACCTGCAAGCTCCCCTCCAAGTCACTCACCATGCTGACTGAGAAATATTTCACCGTTCCTTCAGTGTCACAGGATCAAAATTCTGGAACTCCCTCCCTAACAGCTAGTGACTACAGAAGTTCAAGAAGGTGGCTAATCACCAGTTTTTCAAGGGCAACTAGGATGGGCAAGAAATGCTGACCCAGCCAGCAAAGCCCACATCCCATAAATTATTTTTTTTTTAAATCTATACATGTAAAAGCAAACTATCTGTCTGACTCCATGTTTGTTTGTTGGAATAATCCTCTGAGGTCTTTGGGCTAATTTAAACCGAACTTGGTAGGATGATGCCTAGGGCCAAGTGACATGTTGTAGGGGAGCTGACATCCTAACCAGACCACAGGGGTGCACGTGTGGGTCGTCTAGCAGGAATTTCCACAGCCCTGTCCACATTGCTGGTACCTTTAACCATGGACAATGCCTGGGACAGTGCTTAGGGTGGATGGAGTCAAGATCAATTTGATGAATGACACGTGGGATGCATGACTGCTGGGCACTGGGACAATGAAAGGGCAAATACATGAAGCTGGTGTTTGCAAATTGTAGCTGCATTTAATTTGCAATCATTTCATTGTCCATTTGCAATCATGTTACACCTTGTGGGGTGAAAAGCCCTCCAGAAACCTCACACAACTCGTACTTCATAAAAAATAACAATATTCAGCTTTCTCTGTCCAAACTCCATCAGGTGAGCCTATTTGTGGTTGAGGCGTTGGGGGTGAAGAGCTGTGGTGGGGTGGGGGTGGTGGCATTTTTTGAGAGTAGCAGCAGAAATACTGTAAGGTTTTGTTAACATTTTCAAACACAGGGCACACAATAGGAGAGAGTTTGGAGGAGTTTGCATTCGCAAAGAGCACCAGGAGGTCTCAGACATTTTCAGTGATGTCTACCTCCATGGACATAGTGATCGCCTCCTCAAAGCTTCCTTGGAGCTGAAGACATGGATGTTGTCCAAATTGGAGCTGACTCTGACCACTGCCCTGCACATTCAGTCCATCAGTTCAAGGAAAGCAGAGGAAATCCTCACTTTGGTCATTCAGCACCTCACTGAATTGCCACAAAAAGTGCTCACTAGTTCTTGACTAATAAAACCTTGCAGGTGGACGATGAGATGAAAGATGGAGAAAGGACACATGGCAGTGGAGATTTTCTCAAAATACACTAACTCCTCTTCCTTTGACCCCCACAACCATCCTGCAAAAGCCCGGTGTTGTCTAGTTCCTCCTTCAACAAGTTAGACAAGTCCAACTAGAATGTTGTGAATGAATTTGTCCAGGTGTCCCACAATACCATAGTCGTCACTTTACTACAAACACAAGCTGGTACCCACGCAAAACAGTATCACGTTACTAGGAAACAAGTTACAATAGCTTTTACCACAAAACAAAGCTATCGCTTATTCCATTTAGCCTCTTAAGTGTACAATACTTCCCAAGTCTCTTGTAGATGTGCATAGCTGCTGTTTCTGTGGGACTGTGAAGCTGCTTACTCTCTTCCTCACTCACTCCGGATGGTCAGCCGGTCTCGACCTTTCAGCCTGCCAGTCTCCTCAGAAGATCCAAGAGGCTGCAAGAGATCAGTCTGCTGATTAATCCCGTTTTTTTTATCTTTTTGGTTGGCTTTATGAAACTTTCTATAGTTCTGGCCGATCAAGGAGATCGCTTAATAGTTTGACACATTGTCAATCATTTGGTTGGCTCGCTACTGTTTGTTTCTTTGTATAGCAGGACCCAGTGACTTTCTGTCTGGGCCCTCCTTTGTTTGGTGGATAAGTGTTGGGGATATGTCTGTCCAGGATAGCTGTTGCATTTTACATTATAAAAATGTCATTAGCAACTAGCTGCTGTGTTTGCACCATGCCTGGTGTCTGGGTTTTGTGATTTCAGAGGTTTACTTGGCCAATGTACCCAGCATCCCTTGCTGTTTGACCAAGCTAGCAATCTACCTGTGTTTTAGCAGCCAGGAGGCTGCTACACTAGAATCTGCCTCCTGCCCTCTTGGCTGATCCTGCCCCCCTCAAAACTACAGTTAGGATCTTCTTTCACAGGATCCTCAGAGTCTTTAAAACCTAGAGGATGTTGGCCACGAGGTATCTGACGATCAAGGGAATGAGCCTCAATTGCTCCTGAAGCAATAGGAGTAGCACTAAATTGGACTAATAGGAATAGGAAGGGAAAGAATTTGTAGATTCTCAAGGTAGTTCACTGAGGTGTTTCAAAATTGTTTACCTCAATATTTTATAAGCTGGACTTTCTCTCCTATGTCTGTGAAATAATGGGATGAAAATTAGAAATATGATTGGAAAAAATGAGAGAACCAAAATGTTATTATGAATTAGTAAGCTGAGGTATTCACCCTATGGGCATTTGAAGTGAATGTGACAGATATTAAAGCTGAAGCTTTTAAGATATTCTTTCACCAACCTCAACAATACGTTCTAAGGTGTCAACTTCATATCATTAGTCCCTGTTTTCTTTAATATTTCATAAGTTCGTTGTTCACTACACACTATTACATTGTGATTAAAAAACACACATGGCATAAATAGCAAAGGAAGACAAAATGGCTGGAGCAAAAGATTTAAAAATTGACCAAATGTGATAGACAGCAATTACAGAAAGGGGAAATGAAGAGGCTACAGCAAGATGCATCAGAGTGCAAGAATGTGCTGCACAATGGGACCAAGACACTTTAAGGACTCTTTCATCTCTGATCTGATCTTTATTAAAAGAATCATATGCAGAGTATAATATTGGCATTAGACCAGAGATTTGTTAGTCATGTGCTACCACAGCGTAGAAAAACTACCACCTACACTGTATCGCACAATTTGTAAAATACAATTACAACCTGAGCCACCTGACCAAATCAGTGTTTCTCTGAGAACAACTGAATCAAATCACCTGTTAAAAAACATCAGAGCATCATAACATCTAAGTAGGATTATTAAAGAAATTCCTTGTTTCCTTTAAAAAGGAATGTTATTAACATGTTCTACGATGAAACGTTTAATGTTTCAACAAACATCAAAGATAGTATCACTGAAAATGTAGAGAGGGATACTCCAGAGGCTGCCTTTGACACTAATGATTAAACATTCAGAATGTTGCTATCAAACATTGAGGAAATGGGTATGTATGTCGATTTGGATCCTGAGCATTTTGAGAGTAACATTGAAGATGTAAAGAATGGTTAGAAGAAATTATATTGTAAAAATTGTAAATCTAATTCAGCTAGAGTCAAGCCAAGTAAAGTTAAAGTTAGTTGGGGGAGTTGTGGGGGTTAGGTGGTGGATGGTGCAGAATCAGCCAAGAGGACAGGAGGCAGATTCTGGGCTTTTGCAGGATGGTTGTGAGGGGAGAAGAAAGAGGAGTTAGAGCGTTTTGGGAAAATCTCCACTGCCATGTCTACTTCCTCCATCCTTCATCTCATCATCCACCTGCACTTTTCTATTTGTCAAGAACTAGCAAGCACTTTTTGTTGCAGTTCAGTGAGGCGTTGAATGCCTAAGGTGAAGCTTTCCTCCACCTTGCTTAAGCTGATGGATTAAATCTGTAGGGCAGTGGTCAGGGTCAGCTCCCACTTGGACAGCGTCCGTGTTTTAATCTCCGATGAGGCAATTACTATGTCCGTGGAGGTAGACATTACTGAAAAGGTCTGAGACATCCCAGTGCTCATGGTGAAAGCGCACTCCCCCAAGCTCTCTCGCATTGTGTACCCTGCTTCTGGAAATGCTAACAGAGCCTCACAATATTTCTGCTGCTGCTGCAGACTTCTCCCATGATTCTGCCACAAATCTCACCAGACCATAAGTCGCACAGACCCCAATAAGATTCCGAACAGAATCTTGTCAGATATCCTGCCTCTGGCACCCGCTCCTGCTCGCTTGTGATGACTGGCTCACCATATGTGAATACTCAATTACCTGACTTTGAGGCTTCATTGATTTTTGTGTTTCTGTATTGGTGGATGGTGTGGATGAGTCATGTGACTTTTTTGAGGACTTCTCTTCCGTCTCTGCTACTGCTATGAGTGATGATTGAATGACCTATTGGAGATGAAATACGTGAATTAGAATGGACAAGGTGAAAGAGTTCAAAGTCAGTAAAATCAAAGTGCACATCATCATATTCAATAGCTGTTGAATCTGTATCATTATTAATGATGTTACATGGCATGCAGCCATATAATTGTTTTGTCCGTCACCCAGTAGCTAGCAGAAAATCATATCTTCCATCTCCATACATTCAGAGACTCTAATTCTCTGAAGTGTATTGTCCTTTTCAACAGTCAGAGTGGATATAACTGGAGGAACACCCCAGGTCTCTCTGTCCCTCTGAATGTGTCGGGAGGATGGAATGTGAGCATTTGTGAGGGATGGGTGGGAGACAACAGGAAGTTGAGGGTGTGAGCCATTGTTTGATACAGATTTGAGGAGATGCTTAAGAATGAAGAATTGTTGCGCCAGCAAGTTTTGAGGTTTGAGGAGTTCTGTGCATGAAACAGTTGGGGAAGTCAGAGAATGAGGAGTTATATTTCAAGAGAACAGAGTGGTGTCAGGATAGAACTGGAGTCAATCTTTGTGCACTTTTGTAAGCATTTGTTTACAGAGAAACAAATTGCAAACATGTATTTCCTAACCCAACAGCCATCAGTTTGTTCCTTATTTTTACGAGCGCAAGTGAATCAATTGAATTAATTGTACAATGAGCCTTTCTCAATATCAATTAAAAGGGGTGCTTTTGGGAAAATCCCAGGTTAGTAACTGTTTCCCCCAAGGTTAGGTTGGGATGCAGAAATTGTCAGACTGTTGATTCCTGCTGCCCACAATGAAAATTCAGGCACCAATTGAACCAGGTTTTGACTATTCCAGGAGTTTCAAATTAGCTCATATTGTAAAGGGTGGAAACTCAACGCACCCTTTACAAAGCAATTAATAGACAGGGTCAGTTTTGGAAACACAATTTTGGTAAACGTGCCATGAGCTGGTCCTGAGAAATTTCGACTTCTGTGTGTATCAGTATGTGTCAAGATTTTGTTGGAAAAGACTAAAGCAGGTATTCCAACAATATACTTTTAAAATAATGAAATCAACATTGAACACTTAGAACTGTATTGTCTTAGTGAAATATAATATCAGTCATGAATGAACCCACTTTCTTTCTCAGTAGTGATATCAGTTTTATACATACCTTTGGGTGTTAAGCAGCTGTATTCCTTTACATGGTCTAAAAATCTTACATTAATGAAAACTGACTCACAGTGACCAACATCTCGTCAGAGGAAGTATATTCTGAGGATTTAATAACATCAAGGCAATTTGACTTGAACCAGATACTTAAGTCTTTCACAGATGTGTTTCTTCCATTTATAGTTTGGTAGCTTAGTTACTACTTTGTGAGGGAAGTCATGACGGAAAAGGTTAGACTGATTCATTTCATATTTAGTTAAAGGTAGAGAACAGGTCAAATGTTTTCACTTATTTGTGACAGTCAAATTTACTTTTTGCCAAAATATAAGACTTCAGTTTACACAATAGTGTTGAATGGATGATGGTAGTGGATTCAATAGTAATTCAATAGTAATAGTAACTTCCATGGAAATTGGAGTTACACTTGAAGAAGAAATATTGCAGAGTATGAAAATAATCAGACCAGGAAAAGGCACAATGAGCCAAATAACAGCTTTCTTGCTAGATGGCTTTAAGAGTGTGACTAAAAATCAAAATTCTCCAACTCATCTTGCTTGATGTAAAAATGATTTCCAAATCCCTTTTGTCCTGAGTTTCCACCCTTCATGAATCTTTGATGTACAACTAATCTACTTCTTGCAACATTTTCTGTTTCTGAATTAACAACTCCACTTTATGTTGAAGGGGAAGGAGATGCAGCCTTAGTCACCTTGTAGGTTATGCATATTGCAGACACAGTTTGCCAGCAATGGATGGTCCAACGTTACATAGAATTACATAGAATTTAAAGCAAAGTAACAGGCTACTGCTGTATACCAACATGTCGGCTTCACACGAATAAACTCCTATCCCTTTTCACCCATCATTATCATAATTCATCAACATTCAGGAAGGAAAATTATATTGAACCTGGTCATTTAAGCAACAATCAAGCAAAGTCGTGGGTATTGGGTGTTACTGAGCTTCATGAGAGTTGTTACCGCTGATTTGAGTCCGAAAGACAGCCTTTTACAGATCAGGAAGTCAGCCCTCTTATTCCAGCTTCTATCATGCTTTTGTAGCCACAGTTTTGATACCCCTGTTAAGATTCTGGCTAAAGGTGGCATCCAAAATGTTGATTGCAGGAAACCCAGACATGGTATTGATGGCTTTTTCATCTCAAGCTCCAACTTCTCTAATGCTCTTTTGGTCAAACTCTTATTCTCCACTATCTGCAAACATCAACCCATCTAAGTCTCTAAAGACCATGTCATGTCCTACTATTGATCTATTATTTTCTGTACCAACCAATCTCCAATGACTGAACTGAAAAACTTTATTGCTTTTGTCTAAATCTTTCTATAGCCTTGGTGCTCCTTCACTCAAGCCTCTTCTAGCATTTAACCAACACTGTCCCGACCTCCACCCTTATAGATCTCTTCTTCTGACAGTCTCTTCAGTCCACCATTAGAAGCCACGCTTTTAGTTATTGGTTTTCATACACTTGAATTCCATAATTAAATTTTCAACATCTTTATATTTCCATCTGTATTAAAATGTATTTCTTTGAACAAGCTTTTGATCATCCCTCATAATATCACCTTCTGAAGTCAGTATCCATTCTTTCTCCCCTAATGTTCTGTGCAGTGCAAATGATGTTATGTCATTCTGACAGATGTGTGGCCATGACATAACTAAATTTTTATTGACTGAGTAACTATGACTAAAGGTATCAAACAACAATACTTGGTTATCTTTTCATTGTTTAATCCATATTCAATTTCACTTTATTACGTTTGAAGGAGAGAGAAATGGATTTCAGCAATCAATATGAAAATATCTGTGAGTCTGTCTTCAGCGAGGTGGACTCCCAAGCAGTGGATGCCCTGGACCTGCCCATACCTGGCTGTTTCCGCTCAAGAAGTCACAGCTACCTAAGAGCAATCCAGGCTGGCTGTTCTCAGGATGATGACAATATATCTGTCCGCTCGGTGTCTCCTCCACCTATAGCAACCACAGTTCGAACCATGCAAACCAACACCAGTAAGTATCATATAAGCAATCTAATTCCCATTCAGTACATTGTGATACGTTGAAGGATCAGAAATGAGTTGATTGTGCACATTTTGCAGGTCTGTTGTGAAGAAATCCTTTGTTGCATCAGATAGTGTTTATTACATTATTAAGGTCCCTGGCATATCATTTACGTCCTAATGGTGAGCTGAGTTGATCCTTCAACAATTAACTAATTCTAAATAAGTAATGGCCAGCATCACACAGGATATAAATTATATCCAAGGATTATCCATGAGCTATTTAATTTATACGTATTAAAACTTAGTGAGGTAAAAGTTTTTTAAAAATTATTAATGATGTCTACGGTTTAGTTCCCCTGAAACCAGAAGTTATACAAATGTTAATATGTTATTTGTTGTATCTGTGGGCTTAGAATGCTTGTTGTGGGCATCCAGTTAGTCTGAGGTGAACATGGAATGTGAATATAGTACTTACAAAAGTCTAACATGTAATGCATAAATCAGAATGCATTTTCACTTTTAAACATTTGCATTGGTAAACAAAAGTTGTCCTGATATTGTGATTAAAAAAAAACTTTTAATGCTCTATTTTAATATGAATACAAGACGTGGGAGAAGAATGTGGCAGTTGTGTGTGGTTATCTGCCCACTGTGCTGCCATTAGATGCACCATTCCAATTGGGTTGAATAGATTGTGTTGCAAGTCATTGAACTTTAATTTTGGCAAGGATTTTAAAGTGTTTGGATAATTATGGAGATGGTAGCCACTGCTGCATTACAAAGTACAATGTTGTAATAGTTAATGGTTTGTGTTTTCATGTAAAATTTGAGAGTGATTTTGTGGCATAACAAAGAATTTACATTTTTCATGTAGAAAAATATTTAGTTTTAGTTGCTGAAAACAATGTTTTAAACATATTGTTTTCCCTTGCTCTCCTGAATACTGTTCTTAAAATAAGTTACATAATGGAAATTATTTTCTTCTTTACTGGAATTCCATTTAGTTGTGCAACTTAAAATGCTAACCTTGTGGAATTTTCTATTTGTATGGGAGAGTAAGTTCCTTTTCTATTGGACAATATGTTTGTGTATTATTTGTTATAGCAAAGACCAAAAAGTTGTCATGACATATCACAACAAAAGCTTCGTGTTTGAAAGGTGATGGGGTGGTGGCGACGATGGATGATGAATCACGCAAGTTTTCGATCTCACCCATGCCATCGGACAGAAGCATCAAGTGGATACCAGCTACTTTCCTACAAAGAGATATGGAATATCATTGGATGTGACATCCTGGGCCATTACTGTGATGTCAGCACTAGTCTGTCTTTTTACAACCTAAGCACCATTTAGAGGTCCAAAAATAATATGAACAAATGTTGATCTTGGCATAAATCGAGCTAAATTTTCTTACAATTGTGTTGTGAACTGCACTCTACAACGGAGCAGTGGGTTAACAGACTTGTTCAGGAAACTGGTGCAGCATCGCACCCACCCTTTGTAGACAGATTTAACCAGACAGATCCTATAAAGTGGAGGTCATCCACTGTCAGATTATTGCCAAGGTGATAAAGACAAAAAACAAGCCTACTATATTTGTGGGGTCTGCATCCACATTAAGCCACATACTTGGATGGAAGTCTCTTTCTAGGAGTTGTAAAGAGAGCCTTACATGGAATTAGTTCAGAAGTATTCAACCCAACTCCTGGTGGACATTGTTCCCATTCCAGAAAGTTACTGAATTTGGCAATTGTTTGCATTAAATATAAATTAGGATGGTGTGGGAAATGGAACTGTTACTGTAGAGGACTTTTTAAGAACCACATGCTGGAATAGGTGAGGAAATCTACACACCATCTAATCCATAGCTGAATGTTGATGATGGATGCAGAAGTAGTGTTCTCTTTCCAACACTAATGATCCTCACCTTATGATCATAAAATGTTATCATTTAAAATCAGTGGCTGGAATAATAATAATAATTTCATAATAAAGATTCCAAAAAATCAGGTAAGGTTGGCATAGCCTTCTGGAGTGTTGAAGGACCCTGAAAAAACAATGCCACTAAACCTCATCACTCTCTGTAAGGAGGTTGTTGCTTTTGATTATTTTGAAGAAAAAATATGTTTCACAATCTTGACCTGGAACTCCAAGTCTGCCTCTGTTCCTTTAACTGAAAGATGGAGGACCTAATTGTCAGGTAACCCGCTCAATTTCAGCAAATATGGTAGACTTCCTTTGAAGATTTACAGGGTCAGTGTTTATTGCAACTGAGCAATTAAATACAACATTTATTTTACATGATCCAACTTCGTCACATTAGAGTTGTCCAAAATTTTAAGTGACCCATTTTACTCACGGGTCAAAAACTATATAGCACAGCTGAACATGGACAGTACTTCATAAAGCAGTCTATGTATGCTGAGCTGTATTCGGAATTCACAGCTGAAGTTAGCAGAAAGGTGCAGTGCCAGCTCTATAAGTAGCCATATGTGCATTGCTTCTGCTGCTAACAAATGAAGTTTATTCACAATGGCTTCTATAATTGCTATTACAATGCCATCTGTACTTATTCACCTCTGTAAAATCTTACTTTGATTACAAGAACTCTAAGCACAATAACGTTTAGGGATCACTTATTCCTGGGATGCTAAGAAAAGAGAGACCATTGTTCTCAATGTCACATTTACCAAATAAAAGTCAAAAGAAGAAAATGTTTAATATCAGACTAAGAAGTAAGAATTTAGTCTTATTTGGTTCATTTAAAATTACTATTAGAAGCACAAAGTGTTTGCTAGGGTAGTGATAAAATAAATAACTTTGAGATTTATGCATGTTTAATATACAATGAGCTGAGAATAGGATATTATGACTTAAGATGCTTTCATCTGTATTCATAAAAGCATAACATTGCTGTTGATATGGTTTAATACTCTTGTTGCTAGCAAAACAGTGTAACCACTCCTTAGTATGAACACCAACATGGAAGAACCATTGATACATTTAAAGAGTCAGAAACATTTCCTCTCAGTGCAGAATTTGACTGCAGGCCCAATTTGAACTGTAGGTGTGACTGAGGAATGGGAGATTGAGTGAGTGATAAATTACACAGTTATGATGAAGTGAGGCTGGACCATTTTAACCTAAATATATAAATTCTGGGAGCTTTTCTAACATAATTTCTGCCTTCAGACCCATTCTGAGGTATACTGACAGATCAGTTCATACCAGTCAATTGTAGCGATTACAATATTAACTATCCACTGTGCTGCAGAATCTAGCTATGATAGAGTATGCTTAGCTCAAGGCCGTGCTGCATCCTATTCACAATATGATCAACTCTTTGTGAGTCTGACTGAAGTGAAGTAAAATAGGAAAGCACTCCAATAATTTTTCTTCCAAGTGGCTCTGAGCAATGTGCAAGAGTTGATTTTTAAAATTTATTTTGGGAGATTCCAGCTTAATCAGAGAGGCTTAGCATGTCTATTGTAAAGTTTAGGTGTTGTGCCTAAATCTCTAAATATGCTAAATCTCTAACTTGACTGTGCAAAAATCATTCCCTAGTTAATAGGTGGAAGCAAGAGTTTGAACAGGAAAAAGCTGAAACCACCAGTTTGGGAAGAGCTGACAGTCAGGGAATGGTGAGTGCTTGGGATATGCCAGAAGGAAAACAAACAGTAAAGCCTGGGAATGACACTTACTGGTCCAAATCACCTTTCACACTTCAAAATAGAGCTCCAATGTGATTAATACATTCCATTGCAAGTATTACTATTTTTTAGCTTTTTTTCCCCCAGATATACTAAATGCTTTTCTTTCAAGCCCAGGGCACTTTGATCCTACTGAGCAACACAGAAAACAGTAAAACATTATTACTTTGTTGGGCCAACTCTGGCCTTGGAGTGATCTGCTGTCAGCATTCCCTGACGCCAACAACACAACACAACTTACAGGAACCAAACTAAATACATCAGGGCCTGAATGATAACCCAACAAGAGAGTGGCACAAGTGGGGAAGGATCTATTCTGCTCCTATTTTAATCGGCTGTGCGTCCTAATCCCCTCAGATGGGGAGGCAGGGGTTAATATCTGGTCATATGTGTTTTCCTGATTGAGAAGCTTAATAGCTGTTGGATGCTTTTGTGAATGGAAAGCAGTTTCCACTGGTGTTCCACAGGGCTTATTTTAGGTCCTTTGCTCTTTGTCATAAACGTTAGTGATTTATACTTAAATGTGGGAGGCATAATTGGGAAATCTGCAGACAGTAGAAAATTGACTGGATAGTTCATAGTGAAGAGGATGACAGTAGATTGCAGAAAGATATCAATGGTTTGTTCAAGTGAATGGAAAAGTGGCAAATGGAATTCAATCTGGAGAAGTGTGAGGTCTTGCATTTGGGGAGAGCAAGCAAGCAAGGGAATGCACAAGAATTGGGAGGGTACTGAGAGGGGTGGACGAAATGAGAGACCTTCGACTGCATGTGTGCAGTGTCCTAAAGGTAGCAGGAAAGGCAGATGAGATGGTAAGGATGATATATGTGCCGTTTTCCTTCATTGGGTGAGGTATTGAATACAAGAGCGGGATGTATTTCTGAAACTATATAAGGCACTGGTTAACCCAAAGCTGGAGGTTTGTCTATAATTCCGGTCATCATATTACTGGAAGGATAAATTACTTTAAAGAGCAAGTACGAGAATATTACCAGGGCTTGAAAATTGCAGGTATAAAAAGATTAGATAGGCTAGAATTGTTTTTCTTTAAACAGAGGAGGCCAAAAGGTCATTTAATTGACATGTACAAAGTAATGTATAGCTTGAATAGAGTGGACAGGGAAGATCTGTTTCCCCTAGCAAAGAAGTCAATTACCAGGGACCACAAGTTTAGGTTGAAGGTAGAAGGAGTAATGGGGACACAAAGAAAAGCCTTTTTCTTCTACAGGGTGACTGGTGTCTAAAATTCACTGTGGAGTTTGGTACTTGAAGTTGGAACCCTGAACTCATTTAAAAG